GAGGAGAGAGGTGGGGAGAGGGGGAGAGAGTGGAGGTCCTTTTCTTACCTTGCAAGAGAGTGCTGTGTTCTCAGGCTGTCATGGTACTGTAAGAACTGAGCATCTTAGGTAGGGGCATTCAAGGCTAGCATCTGAGCAAGGAAAGGAAGTTGGGAATTGAGATGTGACACATGGAAGTAACCCAGCTGCATATCAGACTGATGGAGGATGATGGTGCACCCAAGGTTACTAGGCCATGGAACTGATTCCAGAGGCTAGAGGTGGTAGGGAACTGTTCTAGCTATGGGATCCCCTGGGCCACTAGAGGCAGGAAATTTGGCTGGTCCTTAGAGAGGCAGATTAGGGCCAGAAAATGGAGGGTCTCAAAAATCAAGCTGGGACTGAGAGAAGAGGCCATATAAGGGATGGCAGTGGGGATACGAGAATGAAATCAGACAATTCTTGGGCTGGAAGGAGAACCTGCCCACTCTGTAGGGTCATCATTCCTTTTTATTGCTGTTGAGTTCAATAGATCCTCACAGGATTGTCTACCCTTTTGAAAGCAACTCCCTTGCTTTCAAACTTAGCTAATTTCTAAGTACCAGATCTGGAAGAAGCACAAAGCCCCCATCTTTTCCAGAGATGCTTTGCCTCTGACTCGAGGCCAGACAGCTTAAGCAAGACCTTGTACAGTTGGGACAGAGCTGTGGGGTTCATGATACTTGTGAATCACACATCTGGGGCATGTCACAACTGTCTCTGGGCTAGTGGGCAAGGCAAGGGGAAGCTAGAGAATTTGAGATGAGGACCCTAGGACTAGAGAGGGGCCAGAGAGTAGGCAGAGAGTGGAGCAGCTTGGGGAAGAGGGCCTCCCTGGGCAGGTGGCTCCATTTGATTTCCGATTTAAGGGGGAGGCTTAGATAGCCAAGAAGAAAAAGGCTAATAAGAAAAATATTAAACTGCAGTGTGTGTGTCCCCAGGGGCTTTCTGTTGCCATGACTGACCTCCCGGAGAGCGCCATTCGTTCTGTAGCATGGCAGCTTTATAGGCACTTGTAGGCCTGCAAAGAACACCAATTTGCTGCTGCAGTTTGTTTTGATAACTGAAACTTTCAATAAATCTATATTAAAATCAAAGGGAAAATTAACTAGGCCCCAGTGAGGGGCACGAAGATAAGGGAGCACATTACCACCCTGGCCTCAGCCACCCCTCATCTGTCTCTTAGTTCAGATTCAGGTCACCAGGGAGATGAATGGCTCAGGCTCGTGGGAGCAGCCCTAGGGAGAGCAGGGAGAAGAACGCATGACCAGGTCCAGTCCTCTCTGCTCCTTAAGTAGCAGAAGATGGCTGTGGGTTAGAGGAGGAGGGGATGAGGAGGTGGGAAGAAGAGTTAGAGAGAGGGATGGAGTAAAGGTGAGAATAATAGTAAAAGCCACTATTCACTGAACTCTTTATTCCAAGTACTATGCCAAGCAGTTGGATATTAATTCTAATAACAGGTAGGTAATAGTATTAACTTCACTATAGAGATGAAGAAACCAAACCTCAGAGAGGTATGTGATTGGCCTAAGGTCACAGATGGAGCCAGAACTCAAACCTGCAAGGATCTCCCTGAGCCCACACTCCTTCCCTATGCGGTAACTTCCCTATGCTGTCTTACATAGCTTATAGGGACTAAGATTGGCAGGATCTGTTTTCCTGGTTCACAGATAAAAATGGTTTCAGAGCCAGGCTGGGTTGTGCCAAGTTTGGAGGCTGCCACACACTGTCCTTGGATCTTGCATTCTCTGCCCTTTGATTGCTGGTTAGAGTCCTAGCTTTGATGGCCACTTCGCTAATTTTCCCTGGTGTGGTTTGACAGGGTTGCAGAATACCCAAATTGGTCTTCTCTTTTGTTTCTTTCTTTCTTTTTCTTTTTTTTTTTTTAGAGACAGAGTCTTACTTTATTGCCCTCGGTAGAGTGCCTTGGCATCAGACTGCTCACAGCAACGTCCAACTCCTGGGCTTAGGCAATTCTCTTGCCTCAGCGTCCCGAGTGGCTGGGAGTACAGGCACCTGCCACAACGCCCAGCTATTCTTTTTGGTTTCTATTCACGTTAACTCCATCATTTAACTCAGCCACCAAGAGTCTGTCCAGGGTGGTCTGTGTGTGCTCTGGACTCAGCAGGTCATCTGAGCAGGTCATCTTGGTCTTGCCTCCCAAGATTCATATCTCCTTGCCCCATCCAGGTCCCCACTTTGGGCATTGGCTGTTTGTTTATTGGACAACCCAGCTGCATTGCTACCTCATTTACTAACACATCTGGTTATTTTAGTCTCCCCTGAGATGAGAGCTGGGTTGTGATACAGTCTCCAATGTGCCCACTGTGGTGGGACTGCAGTGGACCCAATGTGACCAAACCAGAGACTTTGACTACTCTCATCATTTCTAGTCTCAGATGAACCACTGAGCTTCTCATCTGAGACATGATGATTCTACAGGATCTGTCTAGAATACATCCTGCATGACAGGGCAACTAACTGTATCTTCTTCTTTTTTTTTTAATTGAATGGTAACTATGTACATTAATGCACTTCTAGGGTACAGTGTGGGGTTTTCACATGCAATCCGAAAATAGTTTGAGGCTCTGCTCAACTTCTTGGTAATAATTGCCTCATATTTTTGCTTCCTCCTTCTCTCTGTCACTTTCTTTTCCCCCTCCCTCTCTTTTAAAATATGATTTATTTATTTTAAGAGTTAGGGACAGCTCGGTGCCTGTGGCTCAAGCAGCTAAGGCGCAAGCCACATACACCTGAGCTGGCAGGTTCGAAGCCAGCCCAGGCCCGCCAAACAATGATGGCTGCAACCAAAAAATAGCCAGGCATTGTGGCAGGTGCCTGTAATCCCAGCTACTTGGGAGGCGGAGGCAGGAGAATTGCTTGAGTCCAGGAGTTGGAGGTTGCTGTGAGCTATGAAGCCACAGCACTCTACCCAGGGTGACAGCTTGAGGCTCTGTATCAAAAAAAAAAAAAAAAAAAAAAGAGTTAGGAACTATGTCGCCCAGGTTGGCCTTGAACTGTGGTCCTCCTGTCTCAATCTCCCGCCTTCCCAGTATCTGGGACTATAGGTGTGCTCCACTGTACCTTGCTCCACTCACTCTTGATGCCCCAGGAGTATACTCCCCAACTAAGTCCGAGCATATAAGCTTTGCCTAATGTTCTGTTTTCTAGGGAATCAGCTAGAGGGTTAGCTGATTTAGGAGTTGAGGGACGTGCCTGCAGTGTAAGGCACGAAGTGTATACTGAACTCCTAAACTGTTCTATTATTTGAATGATTTTGTAGATCTTTCTCCAAAAAGATCTTACAGTTGAGTGAAGTCTAGAAGCTGTATAGTTGAGCATAGAGCACAAAGGAGGAAAGAGCACATTTTGGGGAAGTCTCTATGGAGGATTTGTGGGCTGGACATTAAATAAAGCCTTTAATCCAGATGGTATAGATTTACTTTATTCTTATGGCCAAGAAGGTTGGCTATGCCCTATTCTCAGACCAGAACTCAGGATATAACAAAATTATCTCCTTGCCTCTTATTTGTCTTATTTCTATATTTACTTACTTAATAGTTTATTGTGCACTCTTCTGCTCCCATTTGCTCTCAAATTTAAACACTCTGAAAGTCCAGGTTTTGTGTGTCTTGTTCATCACTGGTTCCTTAGCAACAGAAACAGTACCTGACACTTAAAAGAGAAGCTATAAATATATGCAGATTGATTGATCAACTGGGGTTTATGACTAGGCAAGAGGAGGAAGACCCAGTTCTAGCTCCAAGAATCAGGGGATAGGTAGATGTACCTCCACTGCAGTGATCTTAGGATAAAAAGTCTGCCCTTGTCACTGTTTGTTCTCTCATTTGTTCACAAATATTTATTGCAGGCCTGCTTTATGCTGGGTACTGTGCTGGATATTACTAATGTAGCATGAACAATATGGAAATAATGCTTTTCATAAAGGAGCTTACAGCCTTAGGGAAGAGAAAACAAAGAAAGAGACAATAACAAAACAATGTGATAAATGCTGTAGATAGGTAGTAGAATCGCCTAACCTATCACGTGGGTGGGATTAAGGAAGCATTTTTCGATAATGGGAACTACCAGGCACTTGCAAATTTAGGCGGGAGCCAGTATTTTAAGGTCAGCTGTCAGAGGTGGTAGGGCTCCCAAATGATGTCATTGTCTTAAGTGAAAACATGCAGATGGTACACAGAGGGGCTTGGTAACTGAAAGTGGGCCCAGAAGATGGGTCCTGACTGTTTGGAAAGCTGTCAAAGCCATCATTGGCTTGGCCAAGGCTGGGGTTTTCCAACTTACAAACTGGTACCCATGACTTCCTAGAGAGGCATATCCAAGATGAAAAAAACACATCTCTGTCTTTGGTCTGAGTTCTCTCCACCTGACTGGAAAGACCAACTGTGGAAGCTTCCCAGAGCTGTGGCCAGAATCCTTCTAAACCTAAAGTTTCCTCTGAATGGATCTGAACAAATCAGTTCCTGCTTCCTTAGAAAGACCCTTCTGAAGTCTAAGCATTTCCTTCTTAGCCTGAATCCCGCCTTCTCTCAGGTCTTTCCCAGGCCCACATCAGAGAGATATCGATGATAATTACTTGTTGAATGAACGAATCACGAGAATGTATGGTCTAAATAGAATCTGTCACCTTATGCACCTATAGTCACCTCACGGGTATATTAGAAGGGGGGGCTACCTGGGTCCCTCTAGGCTCAACGGGGAAGTGCCCTTCGCCCCGCCTTCTCGTCTGAGGACGCGCAACTTCAGAACTACAAGTCCCATAAAGCCGGCAGACGGGAGTCACCATCTTGACACTCCTTAGCGCGCATGTCGGCGGGAGAGTGAGCTTTTGGAGCCAAGAAACCCCGCCCCACCACAGCCTATTGGTCAAAGGGGCCGCCGCCGTGCCCAGCGGTTGGCCAGCGAGCCTGCCCATCCTTTGCGTCGGTCGGGGTCAGAGTGCGCGGAGGTGAGTCGGTGTGTTGTGGACTCGTGGTGCTGGCTGCCGCTGTTGAGGCGGCCGGGAACGGGCGGTGGGGAGCGGGCGGAGCTGGCCCTGCCTCTGCCTGGCCGTCGCAGCAGTCGGTGCGGGCCGCGTCCGCCGCCGCCAACTGCCCTGAGCGCCTGCTGAGGCCGAGGGAGACGTCGGGGCCTACACCTGGAGGGAGCCTGCCGCGCTGGCCCCGAGGAGGGGGCGTTGCCATGGCAACAGCCTCTCCTGCAGCTGATGGGGGGCGGGGGCGGCCCTGGGAAGGAGGGCTGGTCCCCTGGCCCCCTGCCCCTCCCCTTACGCTTCCCTGGACTTGGATGGGCCCGAGTTGGGGGCAACACCCTGGGGTGGGTGATGATGAGTGGCCCCCAGATTGGGCTCTACTTAATGCTTGCGTGGTGAGGGTCGCGGTGTGCACGGTTTGTGCGGCGTGGGTACTGGCCCATGTGCTCACCCTGGATGCATGATCTGAGTAATGTTCTGGTGGAGGGGGAGAGGGGGAAGGCTTCTGGAGATAAACCGGGTGAGTTGATTAAGGGGGCTGACTTTGTAGGTGGGACTACTAGAGAAGAAGAGAGGTTTGACCCAGAGGCTAGGAACGAAGCAAGAAGATTGTAGATAGAGCACTCCCTTTACTCCTCCCCAACACAGACGCACACACTCAGGGTTAGCAGTTTATCTCTTTGTAAATTTGAAGCAGTGGTAGTAGTGATGGAAAGAGTGAATAAGGGTCCTAATTTGACTAGCTTTATGTTTGCCTTTCCTGCAAATGGTCTAGCAAACAAAAACAAAAAGGTCCAACAAACAAAAAAAAGCATGAACTTCGTTTGAGGCTTGACTGGGAGTTCTTGAAAAATAGAAGTGCTTCTTTTTGACTTGGAAGGTGCTGGCTGTAAGTCCCCCTCAGTAGGGGTTTGGATTTTGTCCTTAGGGATGGATTTTGCAACTAATAGTGCCATCATTGCCTCTGCTATAGATCTCTGCCTACCTTAGTGGTATTTACTCTTGTCAGATATTTCATCAGTCTCCCAGCTGAAGGGCAGCAAAACACGAATCTCATTGGCTAAAGACTATAGTCTTTGAACTATAGTAGGTTGTGATTGGCTGAATGATTTCAATTGTAGAATTTCTTCCAGAAATTGACTTCATCAAATTCTGCTTTATTCTGACTTTATCATACACAGCATGTCTTGTTTTAGTGGGTTCATGCTTAAAGCTTAAGTATATTATACTTGAATCCCCCACCATTTAAAAGCCAATTTATAAACAGGGACTTGGAGTGTGACTCGCTAATGTGTGTCTGTGGTCTTGGTTAGAAACCCACTTGGCTGCCTTTCATCAGGAGGTGGAGGGTGGGGGAAGGGAGCTGCTGGGAAGTGATTGATAAGGTTTCCTTTATGGATTCTGTGGTGCTTCATTGGAGCTCAGAGCACTTTGGCAACTTAAGCACTCCAAATTAAAAGCTCATTAACAATTCCTGCCCAAAGATCGTGTAAATAATCAGCTAGCTAGGTCATAGAGCTTGGCTAAGAGCTCTCCTTCCAACTTGAAATTTCCAAATAAAAGTGCTTTTATTCCCTTTCATTTTGAAAAGTGTTTTCTTTGTGTTGTGGTAAATTGGTGAGTGGCCTTTTCCCAGGGGATCTGAGTTGAATAAAGTCTTAAGTGTGTAGAATGTTAGACAGGAATATATTGGTTCTAGTCCTAGGTGTCTCTTTGTGCAGAGAGCATCACTAGTTTACAAGGGTATCTCTGCAACATAATCCTTTGGAATATCTAAATTAGTTGATAAATATGATAGATATCCATGTTTTGACTTTGGGTCACCTTAACTTTTTTTAGAACTTGAGGCAGATTTAGAAGTATCCTAAAAGTATTTCCTGGTCCGTATGGCCATTTGCAATATGGCCTGTGGATTTGTAGAAGCCAACCCCTCCATGAGTCCTGGTACAGCCTTAATTCCAGAGTTCTGAATATTGTCAGCCTTACCAGTGTTTTCTTCCTTGACTAGGGTAGGATTCTGAACTCATCCAGAGAGTTACCACTTTATGACTGTCTTTCTCAGTCCAGGCTCAGATATGGTAAATGTTTAGTGTTTCTAGGAGGTAAGCCTCTTTAGGAGGAAAAGTATACTACTAGAGAACATGAAAATAATTACAAAAACAAATATAGTACCAATAGCTTCTGAAATCTCTGTAGGGGCACTGTCTTTCTACATAGATAGAGCTGTTATCCCAGAGTTTGAGTTTAGGCTTTTGAGATGTAGTATGATCCTTAATGTGGTTTTGATCCTTTGTATTGAAATAGACTTGTTGCAGAGATGTGTATTTATCCACAGCATTGGGGCATTCCAGCTCTCACAGAACCTTCAGCATCTCCAGCAGCCAGTCTTGGCATCTTTGAAGTAAGAAGAGGTGAGCATCCTGTTGCATGGTCAAGTTTGGTTTGACTTTCTTCTAAGTATTTGGACTTGGAGGGTAGAGGGTGGGGGATGGTACAGATTGTATTTTTTTGTGATTACTTGTGATAAAGCTGCAATGCTCAACATGCTCAAAGCATAGTGAAACTTACCCAAAGTCTATGAAGTGGTAAGAGTTGGAGGTGGGGGAACCAGATTCTGAAGTTCTGTCATGATTTCTTTATGGATCTCATAAGCAGCCACTTTAGGTAGCATAGAGCCAGAATCATTCTTTATCCTGAGAAATATACATCTTAAAACAATAGGAAGAAACATGTTTATTTGGCTTTTGATAATATATTTGCCCAAGGCCTTTGGGTTCTTGATTTAATTTGGGCTGTCACCTTTGGGTGGATAGTTAATTTCAACTTATCTCCATTTTACAGGGATTGAGTTTAGCTAAAGAGATCAACTCTGCTGATTGATATCTAGAGACTTGGAGGCTGTTTGTTCAGTAACTAAGGGCCAAACACTTTGATGGTTCCTGGGATTGTGGTGGTGAACAAGATAGCCACTGTCCCTGACATCCAAGAGCTTACAAATTCATGAGAGAGACAGATAATAAAAAGGCAGGTATGATATCCTCTGAGAGTGCTATAGTGAGCGAACTGTGTAGGTTCTTTGGGAGTACTCACAGGGGTCACTAGCCCAGAGTTGTGGGCACAGGAGAAGCCTTACTGAAGAAGTAGTCTCTTCACCTAGAATTAGATAAAGACATGAAGGACCAAGTGTCAGAACTTCCTTGAATTTGAGAAATAGAGTGCTCAGTGGGAATAGGACCAGAGAATATGGAGAGATGAAGCAGAAAAGGTAAGCAGAGGCCAGAACTTTATAAACTCTTAGGATTATATCTGTTTGGGGGGGGGCAGTGTAGAAAAAAGATTAAGGGTCTACAAACTTTCTGTAAGGAACAATATAGTAAATATTTAGGCTTCCTAAGCCTCTATCACAATTACTCTGTGGTTATGCATGAAAGCAGCCATAGATGATATGAAAATGAATGAGCACGGATGTGTTCCAATAAAACTTTATAAAAATCAGGTGCCAGATGGATTTCGCCCATGGATCATAGTTTGTTCACCCTTGGATCAGATTTAAGAACAGTAAGAAGCCATTAAAAGGTTTGAAACAGTAGATTAACGTTAGATTTGTGTTTTAGTTTTTTCACACTGACAAATCAGATTTGTGTTCTGATTCAGTGTAAAGAGTAGATTAAAGGGGATAGACAGTATTGAAGGTGAGACCAGTCAGGAGGCTATGGCAGTTATACGCATAGCATTTTATATTTCCTCTTTTGTGGCAATATTTTGGCCCTTTAAATTGAGTATAACTGACTCTTTGCATATATGTGTGTATTGGTTCTCTTTACTAACTTCCTGGCCATCTGCTAGAGCTTGTAGGATGTCTGTCAAAGAATCTTTTGGAGATACCAGCTCCTGTTTTACAGCCTGGAAATGATGGAGGGAGGGAAAGTTGGTACAGAGTGAACTAAAAGGTTTTGGGAAGTATATTCTTTTTTTTTTTTTTTTTTGAGACAGGAGCCTCAAGCTGTCCCCCTGGGTAGAGTGCCGTGACATCTCAGCTCACAGCAACCTCCAACTCCTGGGCTCAAGCGAGTCTCCTGCCTCCGCCTCCCAAGTAGCTGGGACCACAGGCACCCGCCACAACACCTGGCTATTTTTTGGTTGCAGCCATCGTTGTTTGGCGGGCCCTGGCTGGATTCAAACCCACCACCTTGGGTGTACATGGCTGGCACCTTAGCCACTTGAGCCACAGGCACTGAGCCGGGAGGTATATTCTAATGAAGAAAGTATAGAATAAAAATGGAGCCCTAGAAGGGACCTTAGTTCTAGGGCTCATAGCTTAATGTCCATTATTTTGAACTTCTTGAAAATGGGATGACCCATTTTCCTAGGCTTTCCAGGGAATTGTCCTCATTCTATTTACAACCAGTCCCAAGGTTATGAACAAGATAGGTTCTCTTGATTCTTAAGTTGAATTTGTATGTAAGTTGGAACAAGTACGTTTACTTTTTACTTGTAATAGCCTCCATTCGTAAGTGCAAATCTAACATCAGTCAGATGTTTGTAACTTGGGGACTTACTATAATGACCTCCGTTCATAAGTGTTAGTTGTACATAAATGGGATGTTTGTAACTCGGCGACTGCCTGTATGTTCTATTCAGTTTCTCCTTTCAGTTTCTCCTTTCCTTGCTTGTAGCAGATCAGTGACCTTTCCCAGTTTTGAAAATATCTCTCAATTCACATATTATGTCAGGTGCAGGACCCAAGTAAACTACTGTATTTGTTGAATGTCCATTGAGTAGGTTAGACCCAACAGTCCTGTGTCTGTTCTTTCCCTTTATCTCTTCTTCCTACAACCCCAGGTATACTTGCATTGCTGGTGAGAAGCTTACAGGTTTCTGATGACAGTATTTCTATGGCATTGGGCAAGTGACTTACCTCTCTGAGCTTCACTGTGCTATCTATAAAATGGAGATAATGGGACTTAATAGGGTTGGTTAAAGGATTTAATAGTGGTAATGTAAGTAAAGCTCTTAGAACAGTGTCTTGATAACTTTTATTACTACTAATATTTTGCACAATAATTTTTTTAAAAGCAGCCAATAGTTAAGTGACTTGTCATTGTATCCATATGATAGAAACACAGACCCTGGTAGTTAGTGGTAGCCGGCAGAAAGGAGGAATTAACAAGTAAAACAAGGCACCACTCTTCATGATGGAAAATTTTCAGACAGCAGGAGTTCCATTCAGAGTCCCAGAACTTTTGTCAGGGTGGACCTTAGTCCTAGCACCATCAGTAATGTGAATTGAGTGAGTAGCTTCTCAGTAGAAATTCACCAAAGTGTGAGCAGTCATTCCTCTCTGTCTGTCTGGGGTCATTTATTGGTGTTGCCACTCATGTGGCCCTACATCTTTGTGAAGTGCTTCTTGGATGTTTTTTTTTTTTTTTTTTGAAAGTTTTTTATTACTTTTCACCAATGCTCTGGGAAGTGGGTCAGGTGGTCAGCATTCTTGTCCTTGCTATCCCTGTGAGGAAACTGAGGCCCAGGAAGGTTAAGTGGGTTGCCTGAGGTCATGTTGAGAGGGCCTGTCAAAGCTAGTGCAGATTTGCTTTCAGATGAAATTGGGTTAGTTTATTGCTGTGATTTCTTTTCGCTTGAGTGAGAGATGCATAGTCATTGCAGAACTGCAGTCTAAGGCATGCCTTGTCTGGATTTACTGGGCTTGATTTGGGTCCCGCTTTATCTACTTGGTTCTGTTGGGTTTTAATTGATGATTGCTAGGACCAGACCTGTTGGGACACAGATTCCCTTTGGGTCGTTGTTTTTAGCCCTTTCCTCTTAGGGGACATTCCTTGGGGAGCTTTGGGTTAGAGGGATTGCTTTGATATGTTCAAAATTGTGCCTCATGCCCCACAGCTACAGGTAAAATCAAAAGGCAGATAATTTATGGGAGTGTCAGAGCTGGCCGCTGGCACCTCAGGAGGCCATTAGTATGCCTGTTCAGACCCTCTGTGTCCTTGCAATTGATTCTTCTTTGCATGAGCCTGATTTGGGAAGCTGTAGATCTGTGGGTAGCGATTGGATGTGACAGTCCAAACACCGGTCCCTAAATTAATCCTTTTAATAGTATTCTGGCACGAGGGCAATTCTCTCTCTCTCTTTCTCTCTCTAACCGAGGAGGACAGAATGGAGTAGGCTAGGAGGAAGGATAGAAAGAAAGAAGCAGCTTTGTTTGGTGCTTAAATCCTGCTCTGTTCTTTCAATGTTTTAATTCCAGAGCACTTGGCATCATGACATGGGGTATATTAATTCGCTGAGCAAACATTTACTCATACTTTGTGCCTGGTCCTGTGCTGGGACTACAGAAATAAATAAAATGTGGGCCTGGCTCTTAAGGATCTAGCTCAGTGTTTCTTAGTCTTTTAAAACTCATGCATCATTTAGATAAAAAAGGAAAAAAAATGAATTTCATGATCTTCTTTAATGCTATTTGAAAATTTAAAATGCAATAAAGGTCTGACAAAAACCACGTCAAAGAATTATGCTAAATATGCTTTTTACATACATGTACACATACACCTTTATGGCTGTCTTCCATCATCTCCCCTAACTCTTTGAAATGTTACAACATAGGGAGATAAAAGTGAAATAGGAATAAAGTCTGCTACTGGATCACACTTAATCAATTAACTTTATTATGGGGTATCAGAGGACACTACTAAAATGGAGGTTATTTGAGCTAGATTTTGAAAGAATAATAATTTGCCTGGCGAGAAAATGGAAGCGAACTCCAAAACAGAGGGAGTACCACTCACCAAGGAACAGATTTACAAAAGGAAACATCAATTTGGGGACCTGAGCGAGAGCTAGTTGTAACCTGCCTCCTATAGTTTCTCTTCTAAGATGGAAAGATTTGCTCCTCTGGAATTGTATTTGAGAGGAAGCTTCTAGTTCTTGTGCTGAAGTTGTGTTAATTCAGGGCACTCCTTTCTGTTTCTGCTTCTGTGCTCAGGGGTATAATTTTTCTTTTTAAAGTATAAAATAGTTACGAATATATTGGGATGATTTGGACACAATTATTACTTAAGGTTGAGTTACTTTTAGTAAAGTTTTTTACCTCCAAAGAAAAACTGAAGTTGATACACATTGTTAGCTCTATGGTTGATGGGGGAATTGGTCATGGGGACCAGTAAACATGGTGGAGACCAAGACCCCAAAGAGCTAAGCACCTCAGGCTTAGTTTCCTCATGTATTGATAGTTGGGAGGATTAAATGAGATAAAGTATGTAAATGGCCAATATAGTACCTGGCTAGTGGTGGATTTTCAGAAAATGGTTTCTCTTTTCTCTTAAATATTAACAACAGTAGCTCCCTTCATTTAAGCACTTACCATTGTGCAAAGCACTTCATATACATTGTATGGTTAAAT